TGGAGAAGGAACCAGAACCAAGATGCAAATCCACAGAACAGCCATGTGGCCCCAAGTTAAGGAAATGTTTTCATTTCTGTTTGATCATTCTCAGGCCGTAAGGCACCTTCTGCTGTGATTTAAATGAAAGAGATGTCCTCCTAATTTCTGCTAAACAGCTTCTCATTTGATAACCATACGACATTCCTCCAGACCCTGTTTCCCCTCTAGCGCACCCTTCTCAAATGTTTCTGACCTCCCTCCGCTCTACTAATAAACGTTCAGAGGTTTTTTCTCAAGCATCTGAGTTTTAGAAGTGAAAAAGAATCCTCAGTGATCAGAAACTTGCTATGCACCAGTACTGTGAGGTAGTTTGCATACATTTCCTTATTTAACCTTTAACGGGTGAAGAAACAGAATTGCACAGAGGTTGATTAATTTGCCTAAAGTTTGGCAGAATCAGGATTTGCTTAGGTATTGTTTTAATTACTTTATTTTTTGCTGGGACAAAATAATCCAACATCCACATGTAAAGAAGGAAAGTTTATTTTACTCACAGCTTGTAGAGGTTTCAGCCCGTAGTTGGCTGACTCTAAAGCAGGGGGGCATGGGAGAAGAGAAACAGTCCATGGCAGTGAATCTGCCTTCCGTCTTCCCCTTCTTCCCATCCCTAATTCCTTCCCTAAATTCCATCCAGCTACAATCCTACTGGTTGGTGCTACCCATTCCCAGGGTGGATCGTCCCGCCAGTAAATCCATCACCCAAACCCAGAACCGTGCTAAACCAATCAGTGGATTAATCTAGTACCACGTACCCATGATCCAGGCAGTCCCAAAAGCCTCATCTATGAGCTCAAGTGCTTTTGGATGTAAGACATTAGCCTCAGCAGATACATCTGACCGTTCTGCTCACAGTGCTGAGTGTGTCAGAGGTGCTGCCCACGGGAAGGGGCTGAGGCACCTGCTCCCAGGGTGTGTCTGAAACATCAGCTTCATCCCCCTCGCTCTCCCGGAGGCCTGTGATTCGCCCCACTGTCCCCAGGCCCTGCACTAGCAGCCACACACTGTTCATTGTCCTCGGTAGCAGGGACACTATAGTTTCATGCCTCCTCATTTCTAAGGATAGCAGATCAGTCTCCCTTCCTGTCTGCCTAGAAGATGAAGGCCTCCAGGGAGACGGTCCTAGAAACCATTTCTGAAGACTAAAGCCCTGTCACCGATGTGCTCTGTCTCATGAGGAGCCTGTGCAGTAGTCTGCAGTCAGCGCAGGGTCCTCTGAGACTGGGAGAAGCGGTGAGAAGAGCCAGCGAATAAGCACGTGACAGGCAGATCATTCTGGAAAGGGGACACTAGGCCTCAGGAGGGGGCCTAGGGACAAAGGTGATCAAGGCTTCCTTCCCCTGGCTTAACTCAGCCTGCTGAAGACAATCTCATAACACTTGGGGGTCAAGTCCTCTCTGAGGCACTGTTGAGTCACACCCACTTAAGGGAGTCCAGCAATGTTGGACAAGGGACCCTCTCCTGGGACCCTCCCCCAGGAGGCCTCTTCTTCCTGGAGAGATTAGAAGACCAAAGGTGCTGGGTGGAGACGTGGCCCTGTGGAGTGTGGATTCCACCTGCTGCTGAAGAGGGGAAGGACAAGGTGGCCACACCCAGGGAGAAGTGTTCCCAGGAGGCCTCCAACCAGTATCTGCACTGTAGGTGGGGAGGCACCTGGAGCCAGCCACTGGCTGCTGGAAGCCCTGCGAGGTTTCCCCTTCCACAGAAGGGAGAAGGCCTGGATGCTGGCCAGATGCCCAGAATGGAGGCTGCAGAGAAAATAGACAGCTGCTCACCCGGACCAGTGCGCCTGACAAGCACAGGTCACACAGGCACCAAGAAAGCAGAGCCCAGGTTTGCAAGGCCTGTTGTTCAGGTGGCCAGAAACACCTCCACCCCACCCCACCTCGAAGGCTCAGCTCACCAGAGCTCTGGACTGGCTTCCGGTGCACACAAATCAGACTGAGGCCCTCCAGCTGCTAGGGAGTCTGGCAGGGATGACTCACAGTCTTTCTGGCCCTGGCTCCTCTGTCCCACCCATCCTGAGTGGCTGCCCAGCCATTGCAGCCCTCTGGCTCCTGCTGGCCTGGGAGTGTGGTGGCAGAATCGAGAACCATGGTGTCTGGCTGCACACGCCCCAGGTTTGCCCCAAGCCCTTGAGCTGGGACCTTAGCTCCTGTGCCCTTCCCATCCCCAGCAGCAATTCGGACAGACAGGTACTTGGGACATATTTACAGCCTGGTTAATAACAAGCTCTGTCAGATCCTGTAATTTGGGATCCAAAAGACCTGGTTCCAATTTGAGCTGTCGCCTGCTGGCTGGGAGACACAGAAGATGCCTCGGCCCCTCGAAAGCTCCACTTTCCCAGGTACAAAATGTGGCTGATGCCTCACAGATCCAGGGGAGCATTAAACAAAGCAGCATATGGCAAGCAGGAGGGGGCCGGTGAAGGAGCGTTCCCTTCATCCGAGCAACTGGAGCTCCCATCGCTCCCCCAGGGAGAGGAAGAGAAGCCAGCTGCACCTGTCAGGGCAGGGGCTCTGTTGGCTTTAGGGTCACATCTGTCACTGGGGGAGGGGGAGCCAGGGGAGCATCTGCTGGGCCCTGTGTGCCTCCTGGGGAGAGGCCTTATGCTTCAGCTGTTGCGCTGACCTGGGGACCATGTGTGCAGCGGGCCATTTACACCCAGTGTGGCGTGAGCCTGGCTCTGCAGCCCAGCTCTGGGACACCTGCTCTCTGTGGCACTGGCTGGAGCTCCTCACAGCTGCTCAGCCTCCCACCTGCAGGAGAGGAGGAAGAATGGGTGGCTTGGGTCAACCCCAAAAAACTTTGCTTGGAACAAGTTAATCTCATAAAGGCTTTCTGGGAAAGAGTGGAACAATTTCATGCACATGGCCTTTTCTGATGAGCAGGAATTTTTTTCTTTTCTTTTTGAGACAAGGCCTCACTCTGTAATACAGGCCGGTCTTAAAATCACTATTTAGCCCAGGCTAACTTCAAACTCACAGTGAGCCTCTTGCTTCAGCCTTGTAGAGTGCTGGAACTACAGGCGTAGATCACCATGCCCAGCTCTGATGAATAGGAATTTTAACAGCTGCTCGTCCTAAATCTAAACAAGCCCCATGATGATGCCTTCTCCTGGAATCCCTGGATTTCAGTCACAACAAGCATGGCAGATGTGCAAATCACTAGGTCACCCAACAGTCTGCAGAGCTCATTCGGGTCCATTATTTCCTACACGCCTCACCACAAAGCCTGCAAGCAAGCAGGAAATAGAGTCTTAGCCCCATTTTCTGGATCAATACACTGAGTCAGAGAGACGTTGGACAACTTGTCCAAGGTCACACAGCATCTGGTATTGTGTACCAGTCACTCTCCTTGTCAACACTCACCACTCCTTAAAGGAGGAGAGCTTTACTTTGACTCACATTTTAGAAGCTTCATTCTTTGCATGGTCAGCTGCTCACATCATCGTGGTCAGAAAGCACAGGGAAAACGGGAGGAGACACACCCTTCCAGCTCTTCCAGGTCTTAGTGACCTGCCTCTTCCAACCAGACCCCACCTCCTAACAGCAAATCAGGTGTGGTCCCCATAATTCAATCACCTTCTAAAAGCCCTACCTATGAGTGCATGAGGTTTTTTGGGGAAGAGTCAGCTCTAAACCATAACACTGGAAGGACAGGAGCCCCCTCTCCAGGGTGGACTCAATGTCCTTCCCACTGCAAACCAAGGAGGAGCAAGTCTTATTGGTTGGCCTCATACAAGGTGTGATCAAAATACACAGAGAATGTTTACTTTTTTTAAAAAAAATTTTATTACAATAAAAGACATACTGCTTTGCCGGGGATCAAACTCACAACCTCGGGTTTGCCAAGCAGGCACTTAACGCTGCTGAGCCTAATCCCCAACCCCATCCTGTCATTCTTGCAACTTCCTGCAGCAGTTCTGCAAGCCCTCTTTTGTGAGTGTCTTTGCAGGGTGTGATTTAAAAAAATAGAGTGAATACTGCCGCCGAGTGCCATCCAACGGAAAGGCATCTTCATAAAAACGCAGTGCTGAGTCCTCATCCGTCTGATTCGCCGTGGATATGGCACCATGCAGCTTCTGGCTCTTCCCCAAAGTCAAAACTATCACCATAAAAGGTAAACATCTTGAATCAATTCAGAACACTGAAGCCAGGACCAAAGACATTAATGACCAGGCATATGGCCTCCTAATCACCTTCAAAGACCTCATCTCCAAATACCACAGCTAAGTTTCTACCTCTGATACCTCCTGAGAGTGATTAAGTACCAACATGTGCTTTGGTGGAGATGTTCAAACTGTAGCACACGATGACTTAGAATAAAGGTTTTAGGCTGGGGACAAGACACAATTGTAGAGTGCCTGCCTGGCCTCTCCCAGGTCCTGGATTTAATCCCCAGCACGGGAAAGATAGAGAAATTTCAGAGTCCCATAGGTTTATATTCAAATCTGCATTTCTTAGCGGCTGAGTGATACTGGGAAGTCCCTGAACTCCCTGTGTACTGGGAGATAAGAACAGAACCTACCGAGTGGGTTACCGCTGAGTGCAATATCTGGCCCATCACGCTTGCTATTAGTAAGTGTTCAGCAAAATCACCTCTTATAACAGCCAGTTAAATATTAAATATTATTCTTGGTACCAAGTTAAGGACTTAACATGTCCTAGGCTTTAATTTATTTTGGTGGTTTGAACCCACAGCCATTACACTGAGCCACATCCCCAAGCCTTCCTCTTATTTTAGAGTTTATAGACAGAGTCTTGCTAAATCACCCAGCTGAAACTCAAACTTGCGGTCTCCCTGCCTCAGCCTCTCAGAGTGCTGAGATTACAGGCATGTGCCACCATGCCCAGCTAAAGCTTCACTTTTTATTCTGCGTATTTCCTGTCTCCCCAGTTGGAACACAACCCCCATAAGGGTCACACTTTGAGACTCTTGTTCACTGATTTGTATTTAGTTCCTGTAAGACCGTCTGGTACTGACAAGAGCTGGCTCTGTGTGGAGAGAGAAACAGAGAGGGAAGAAGGGGGAAACAAGAAGAAGCAGCAGCAGCAGAACCTCCTTGGTCATGCAGTTGACCGTGACCGCACGGAGGCCCAGCCAGCTTGCTGTTTGTGTAAAGTTCAGGAACAATGGAGACTCTTGTGCCTGGACCTGCTTCCAATCCAAACAGGATGGGACACGAGGGAGGGACGGGGCCTTGCACCAGACCTAGGAGAGAGAGCAGCAAGGGTGCAGGCCTTGCCTGAGGTGGCCCTCACTCGCCTGCGGTCCCCAGGAGTGGCACATTTAGCTGCAGGGACGAGTGTTTGATCTGAGCTGGGCACACTGCTGCCGATGTGCAGAGGTTCACTGCCTGCTGGACCAAGGGGGTCCGCTCCGTGTTGGAGGTGCTTCATGTTGCCTGTCAGGAGAGGTTTCTGAGCCAGGTAAGTTCTGAAGGGAAAGCACCGGCCTGACCTGAGTGGGCAGCCAAGGGCACCAGCACCCCGGAGGGCTGGCTCCTTATCTGTGACACCTTGGCCCCTGCCTTGGTCCCAGGAAGGGAAGAGGTCATCCTGCAGCTGGTCGGCCAAATGAGCCCCTTTCTTACCTGAACCTGCTGTAGGAGGTGCTAATTCTCAGCCCTATCATAAGCAGGCTGCCCTGGGGCCCGGGAACTCAGTCTTGGGCTGGGGAAACAAGGAGACGGAATTCCCTGCTCAGAATCCTGGTCCTCCCAGCCCATCAGGCCCGCTCGGACCTGAAGAACAGCGAAGGGAGGCTGAGCAGCTGCAGGGAGCTGGAGCATCTGTAAACCCTACCTTGGTGTGGACAAGGAGCGAAGGGGGAATGCGCAGATTTAGGAGTCCAGGGAAGGGTGTTCTGCAGAGCCCCCTACCGGACTTCCAGGGAGAGAAGCCCTTTCCAAGAAGGGAATCCCAGGCCTAGGGATGTGTAGGAAAGGTGTCTCATCTTAGCCCTGGTTTTTCCTGGATACTGGCAGGGCGAGCATCATCCTGGGTTGCCTGGTCCTGTGTACTTTCTTGTCTGTAAAATTCCTGCTCATATGAAGAGCCCATTTCTGTACTTAACTCTGTCTATTTCCTACTCCCACCCACCGGGAAAGTGGGACCCCATACATTCACAGTTCTAATCCTTTGGCACTTGGTGTTATAAATCCCGCCCCCAGTTTGAGGCTTACCTTTTAAGGTTCTTTAAGTTATCTGCAATGAGCAAAGAGTCTTACTTTTAACAGAGTTGAAATTAGGTCTCTTGTATGATTTGTGGTGTTTCTTGTTTAAGAAATCCCCTACCTCAAGATCAGAGAGGTGTTCGGTTCCGCTTTCTTGTGGCTGAATGTCCCACCATGAGGTGCTGCTGATGGTGTTTGGGGACCTGTGCCTCGGCAGGGGTGAGTAGGCTCCAGACATGCCATGCTGTCCCCTGCTGCCAGCAGGATCACAGTGCAAGGGCTCTGCGCAACCTTCAGGGTGCCATTCCTGTAAATCTGCTCCACCACGCACTGCAGCCCAAATCCCAGCCTCCAAGCAGCTATGTCCAGGGAGCAAACTACTGCCTTTCCAACTGCCAGGGTCAGCGAGCAAGGCCCCAGTGTGTGAGGCCACGGGGACCACAGGAGGGAGAAGCAGCATATCCTGCAGAGACGTCAGGGCCCAGAGGGCTGCATCCATCTGCACACTGTCTGCTCACCACATGCCAGGGTCTGCCAGGGACCATCTGCTGGCTCAGGACAAGTCCTGCTGTCAGGGCCACAAAGCAGAGCTTTGTGACACTGTGTTAGCCTGCAAGCTCCCGGGGTAGGGCTCCAGGCCTCTGAGGACAATGGTGCCACAGTGGAGTCTGGGCTCCGATGGAAATCAGCGCTAAGAATGGCCACAGAGCCAGCTCCTGGCAGCTGCCGGGCCACAGCCTTCCTGGGGGCAGGGTGGGCACACAGTGCAAACTGGGTGACTTGAAATGAGCACAGTCTGGCGGGCTCCCAGACACCCGCCTGGGCCTGATTTTCCTGTTCTGGCCTTGATAAATATGCATAGGCTCTGGCCTATCAGCTGCCTTTGGAGGACGTGAGCAGAGAACTGAAAAAAGCTGGGGAGACCTTTAAAGGAAGCCACGCCGCCTGCCTCTGCTTCCTGCTTTGATTTCCAGGGCTCCCAGGGGATCTGCCAACCTGCAGGTCCAAACAGCTGAGGCTGCCTCTTGGCTCCTGGAGCCCAAGTCCAGTGAGGATGGAGGGGAGCAGGCAGCTGGAGCAGGAGGGAAGAGAGAAGTGGGCGGGAGTGAGTGCTTGATGGGTATCTTAAGAAACCAGAGCAAGCAGATTGTTCTCTCCCTTTTTGTTTTCTTGAAGAAGTCGCTGAACTATAAATTTGCATCACCCTTGAACCATAAAACCAGCCCGACTGTCCTTCCATGGTTGCACATGAGTGACACCGGTTTCTCACTTCTGCCTGCGCACTCTGAGGCTGCCTAACTTCACTTCCTGTTCACGTCGAGTTGATCAGACTTCTCCGCACTGTGTTCCCCCTTTCCTTTCACGGCAGGCAAGGCCTCCAACCATTCTGAGTAAAAAAATTTACTCATGGAGACATAAGCCTGTAATCTCAGCTCTCTGGAAGGCCGAGGCAGGAGAATCACAAGTTTGAGTCCCCCAACCTGGACAAGTTTGCAAAACCTTGTCTCTCAAAAGAGGGCTGAGGATGTTGCTCGGTGGGAAGTCCCTGAGTTCAGTCCCCAGTACAATCAATCAACCAATCAATATAAGTTTCTGGTTTAGCTCAAAATATTCAATAGTCTGCCCTCCTCAGGGTCCATTATATTTCTCATACTGAATCTAATATATCCTAGGCTTATCGTAGATTAATTATAATTTGGCTTACATAGAATATCCACTGGGTAAGAAATTATGCAGTGGTCAAACAACTGCGGATTTAGTAACCACGTTAAGTGCAACTCTACGTGTATTTTACAGAGGCATATCCCGGTACCTGTGAGCAGAGCTGTAGAATGTAAGCTACTTGTGGGACTGGAAGATGGTGAAAAACTCACAAGTGAATTCCCAGGCCCTGGCCAGAGCTCTTGTTTCTCAGTGTGAGACCCGGTGTCAGGGCATCCCCTGGGTTCTGGACTAGAGAGGCCACAGGGTAATGACCACAGGCCAGACCTCAGTGGTAACAATGTAGGTGTGGCCCAGGCCGCCTGCAGCTGAGAAAGTACTTGGCAAGTCCCCCCCTGATGGGAGGGCTGCTTTAGAAGTTCCCTGCCTTGCAAGCAGGCAGTCATGAGTTTGATCCCTGGTACCGATAAAAACGAAAAAGACAAAAAAAAAAAAAAAAAAAAAAAATAGAAGTTCCCTCAAGAGTGTGTTTTGCAATTCAGAGGATTCCAGGGTGCACAGATAATACTAACTCACAAGGCCATCTAAACCCCCAGAGTCCTTGCAGTTCTAAGAACCTATGGTTCATGATTACCATTCTGGAGGGTGAGAAAAGGTGTCCTCACTGATAGAACTGGGGGGGACCGGCGGTGGCTGAAAAGATAAGAAATATGAAATATAAATGACCTTTATTTTGGGAATGCAGGGAGAGACACCCCCGATCCCCTGGGGAACGGCATCTCCACCCCAGGGTCTGGGATCTCTCCGTGGAACACGTGGAGTGAGGCACATAAGTAGCCTCTGCTTGGGGTGAAACCTAAGGGGGCATTAGGGATGCACAGGTAGCCCATTGGTCTTTGTTTGGCGCCAGAGGTAAATTCCTAGGGGTGGGGGAGATAGGAGCTCCTTGGCTTTCCCGGCTACAGTGTCCTGTCTGGGCCAAAACCCTTTCACTCACCACTACTGGGTGGTCACGGTGAGAGTGCCAGGCCTGGTGGTGCATGCCTGTGAACCCAGCACTCTGGGAGGGTGAGGCAGGAGGCTCACAAGTTCAAGTCCAGCCTGGGCAGTTTAGTGAGACCTTGTCTCAACATGAAAGAGGGCTTGGGGTGTAGCTTAGTGCAGAGGCCCCAGTTCAGTCCCCAGGACCACAAAGCAACAAACACAAGCAAAAGCCAACAAACAAAACAAGTGGCTATAAAGAGTATAGCGATGTCCTTTGCATTTCTGCGCTGAAATTGCACCTCCTCTGGGAGGCTCAGGCTGCCCCCTGCCCACTCCTCTTTGCTTCACTTCTTATCACCCTCCTACTTGCTTACATCGATCCAGCCATGCTGGGCTCTCTGGCTCAGGGCCTTTGCACTTACTGTCCCTTCTGCCCAGAGGTCTGCTTTAGAAGCCAGATATGCAAGTGCCCTTGTGTAGCCCTGTAAGGAATCAAGAGAAAAGCACATTTTTATGAAGCTGCTTCTATTTTCATTTGATCTTAGGTTAAGAAAATACACAGGAGCATATTACAGTTTTCTCTCTTTTTGAGGCAGCTTTGGGGAGAAGTTGATGACGATCAGAGAGGGTTTGTTAGTCAGCTCTCACTAAGCTCTGCCCCAGTAACAACCTCAGAATCCCAGTGGCTAACAACAGCAGTGGCATTTATCACTCAAATTACTCATGGCCTCAAGTTAGCTGGGACTCTGCTTTGTTGCAGGATGAAGGACCAACGATTTTCCTTAAAGGAGGAAGTAACACTGAAGTAGGGAGCCAGGGGCCCCCACTTTGGTCACAGTAAGGAGCCAGAGTGCACAGCTGAAGCCTCCTCAGCTTTCAGAGAAATACCAGGCTCTCACCCAGCCAATGAGCCAACCGATCCATGTGCACGCACATGCACACACATGCACATGCACACGTGCACACACATGCACGCACACGCAGGCAGATTCCGAGTCCCCCAGAATGTTAGGAGGATTGCAGTACCTCAAGACCTTTCCACTTCCTCTTCTGACTGCCACAAGAGGGAGCAGGAGGACTTCTGGGTGCCATCAACAGACCCCAGGCCAAAAAGAGGAGAAGAAACAGGGGAGCCAGGCCCAGCAAGGAGGAGAGAGAAGCACGTGGCTACAACAGGGTAGGGGTGAGGGTGGCAGCTCACCCTGAACCCTGAACCCCCCGAGGGAACCCCAGCCTCTTCCCCAGACTCTCACCTGCGCTTCTTTCCAGACAGTGAAACAGCCCACGGGAGAAAGGGATGGGTGATTTTCCCTCCCATGAAAGATCGCTTATCTCAGCTGCAGGAAAACAAGTTTCCAAGTTGCTTGGGGAAGGAGAGGGTGGGGCTCAGATATGGAAAGAATGAGGAGGGAACAGATGGTGCCTGCTAAGGCGACCAGATTTTTTTCCCCCAGTTAATCTGGGAATGACCTAATTTGCATAGGATTTGCATAAATTTCCATTGCAAATTGAAGCTGTCCTAACTTCAAGTATAGGGAGAAAAATAAATGAGATCGAGCAATCCACTGTAATTGAGCTGAGCTGGTCACACTGACTTCTGTGAAATGCAGGTCAGGTTGTTAAGCCCTGGCACTGAGCTAAGGAAATAGCCACTGTCTCAGCAAGAGGGAGGCTGCAGAAAGCTGCTCAGCCTCCGGTTAAAACAAGCCTCCTGCCTGCCTTCCCCCTCCTCCTGCTTCCCTCATGCTGTCCTCTTAGGAGGGACCAAAGCTGGGGTTCCTATCCTCCACCACAGGGTCCCAACTGTCACAGCACAAATGGAGCAAAAGGGAAGGGTGGCATCAGACACGGTTTTCTGCAGGCAAAAGTGCAGAAGTGGGTGGGGTCATGCACTCAAGTACTGGTACCCTGGGCACACAGGGCTCTGGTGGGTGGAGTCATTTCCGCGGCATCCCATCTGACTTCCACATGGCTGTGCATCCATTCACCTTCATCCTCCACTGACTGCATCACAGTGCCCAGATGCTTGATCATCCTGCTCCCTCATGGCCACCCCCAACCTCTTTCTCTTGGGTGGGTTCAGATTTGGGAAAAGTGCAAGGGTGGTGGATTCCCGTGCAGGTCAGATGGGACAGGGCTCAGCTGCAGGCCGGGATGGGATCCTGCCCAGGTGGGAGTCACTCAGGGAGGTGCTGGCTGCTGGGATGGTGCTCTGTTTGATGAAGGGTGACTTTCAGGGTGGCCTTGAGCCTGCCTCTCACGTGTCCTCTGCTGAGATGGCCTTCCTGAGCGCAGGACAGAGAGCTACGAGTCTCTCAGCCCAGCTCACAGATTCCTGTGCACTTAGCATCCTCCTGTGTTCCTTGCATTCTTCAGCCCAGAGACCCAGGTGGGGGAAGCCATATTCTCTGCTTTGAGGACCCCTCATCAGTCCCTGAAGTTAAACTCCACAGGGCTCCTTGCTCCCCATCCTCTTGCTCCTCTGAAACACAACCCAGAAAAGTCAGATGCTTCATCCAGACCCCGGGGAGTGGGAGGGAAGAGGGGAAAGAAAAAGATGCCAACCAAACATTGTTCACTAATATTCCAAAAATTCACTTTGCCATGCACTCGCTGGAAAACCAGAGCTCACATAAGCCGGCAGAAAGATAAAAGAAGACAAGAGAAAGATGTTACTAGCAAAGCAAGGAGAGAAGAAAAGCCCAGATGGAGACTTGGAGTCCAGCACTGATCTGAGCCCCTCAGCCACCCAGCCCTGTGGCCTGGGCACACAGTACTGAGAGCCGGTGGGGCCCACAGCCAGTATTCAGGCACGCTCACTGTGCAGGTGCTCTGTGGGGTCAGACACAGGCATGGCCCTCCAAAACTCACGAGCAAAACAGTTTCTTTAGGGGTCACCCGATCCCAGCATAAGAAGTGTCACATTTTAAACAGGGGAATGTGTCAGGCTTTGCAGACCACACAGGCTCCAGTGCAGCCGCTCAGCCCCACCAGCCATTGTGGCCCAAAAGCAGCCCCAGACAAGATGCAAAGGAAGGAGGGCAGCTAGGATCCAACGTGTGCAGGCCGGGAATTTGCATTTCATTCGACGCTGTGAAATTAGTCTTTTTCATCTCTGGATTTTTTTATATTTCATTTAAAAAATTGTCCTCCATCCACAGGTCGCATAAACACAGGCAGCAGGCTGGCCTTGGTTTTAAGCGAACCCAAAGCAGAAGGCTAGGTTTTCTTTCATGCCAACAAGAGACATTTGCTTCACAAGAGAATTTTCCTTGATGATCTAAGCAGGAGGTTCGATTGTAATGAGATTCGACTGTAATTTTTTTCCTACAGTTTTTGGTCTCTTTCTTCTTTCCTTTTTTTTTTTTTTTTTTTAATCTTTAGTGTTTTTCAAAGTGACATCTGCCATCTATTAGAGGGCTATAAAATCCCTGAATGTCATTTTGGGTAGAATAGAGTAGGAATGACGAGCTAGGATAGAGCAGAAGAGCAGAGCGGAATTCCGAGTCCGTCACACTTAATAAACCGCAGTGTCTCGTGAAACTCTCCCAGGTGTGTACCCACTCGTATAACTAGCTGCGCACCAGGTGACCACGTAAAACACGCCTTTCACAGTGGACCCTGGTGCTACACTCACCCCGGATCGAGGGTGGGCTGGGGGGCTCTGGAAGGGAGACACGGGCAGCGCTGTCTGGGGCCACAGCTGAGTAGATCTAGTCCTCTTCCGTGGAATGCTGTGCGGTGGCCACGGAGCTCCTTCAAGATTCCTGCCCTTCCTTGGCCTTGTGCCTCTTGGCTTGATGGCACTTGAAGTGCTGCTTGCTGTTGCTGGCAGACTCCCTTTTGGGTTTGCTGCTTCCTGAGCCTGCTGCACCGGTGACACAGGTTGCCTTCTGCCTGCAAGGTCACAAGTTGCTCACGGTCTAGAAGATGCTATGAGTGTGCTAAATGTCTCTGTCACCATGGCCAACTCCAGAGGACTCGGACTCTGGGACTTTCTAGCACCTACAACAAGACAGGTGGGGGCTTCACTATGTGACCTGAAGCTGGAGCTTGAGACAGAGGCAAGAGGTACCCCATCTTCCCTCCTTGCTCTCAGAGACAGAGTTTTGGTGCAGTGTTTTGTTACTTGTTTTATTTTATTTTATTTTATTTTGGTGCAACAAACAGCTGGCACACAGCTCGTCCCACATTGTAAATGCTGTTCTAACCCTGAAGGGTATCGCTCCCCTCCTGCATGTTATTCTGACTATGAATGTAATGGATGTTAAATAACTCAGCAAAGAAGCTGTTTGTAGTGCAGCCGAGCAGATCTGTTTCTGGAGAAAGGTGCATGCATGGGCGGCGCCTCCCATAGAGGACCTCGGGTGGCCCTCTCCCACCTGTGGGAGCTGCTGCCTGGCGCCATGCTGGAGGAGAGCCCAGGGCAGCTGCCCTTTGAGGGGTCGTCATATGTAAATGCCACCCACCTCCCTTCCATGAAGTTTCCCTTCCTTCCTTTAGGGGCAACTGCCAGGCACTGGGCTAAGGCTAGTGACCCCATGTGACACACTGACCAAGCCAGTGCTGGGAACATGCTGGTTCTCAGCCTTGCTGATGGATGGATGAAACCCAGAGAGTAGGCTTTCCAGGTCACCCCAGCCAAGCTCCAGCAGACTCTGGGACCAGCCAAGGAACGTGGGGCTGGCTGTGCTGACTCATCCCAGGGCTGAAGCGCTGTGCCTGAGGTCTGAGATTCCCAGTTTGAGGGCTGAAAGGCTCCTGGGGATGCTGGAAGCTGGAGCAGTCTCGAGGGCTGGGTTTACTCCCCTGGGGGTGAGGACTGAGGCACACAGAGCCTAAACCTACACATGGGAATTTCTGGCTCTTCTCTCCCCAGTCGAGCTCAGCAAATCCCAAGTGTGAGGCCAGAAGAACAAAGCAAAGGTTCCAGTCTTTGTGCTGCTTCTAATTAGTGAGGTGACCTACCATTCTCTGGTTCCCCTTTTTTATCTGCATAACTAGGGGCGAAGCAGAGGACCTCCAAGTTCTCAGATTTAAAGCTCCCTGGGCAGTTTTCTCTACTCAGTCCAGCCTCCAGGATTATTCTGGGTATTAAATTAGATGAGGTCACCAAGTGAAAGGCACACGGGCACTAGCTCCCACAGCCACGTGGAGCATGTGCGCGGTGACTTGCCTGGGCTGTCACCTCCCAAATCCTGGACTGCTCTTAGGGATTTGCCAGCTCTTCAGATCCCTCAGTTAATGCAAGCCTGGCTGAGTTGGATTAACCCTCCTGGAGCCTGGGCTTAGGGGCCTGTCCTGCCTAGCATGTGACCATCCAAGATGCGTGAATGGGGGCAGGGAACTTCCCTCGTGCCCATCCCATGCATCGAAAGTCCTGCGCCCTGTGACAGCAAGCAGCAATATATCTTACAACAAAACGCCACACTGAAGAGTGATGGTTTCTGCCTGTCAGTCCCCACCGCGCTCCTCCCTGGTGAACAGCTGCAGCCTTGGTTGTCATATCTGGAACCAGTTTGGCGAGGGTACTCAGAGGCAGGGGGACAGAGCTGGAGGAGACCCCTGCGGTGTGTGACTCTGAAGTTTCCTGTCACCCTCCCCAAATGGTTCTAAATGAGACAGCCCTGCGAGTTTTCTGAGGACAAAGGTCTGAAGGTTTCCCTGAGAACCCCACCAAGGCTGAGAAACAGGGCACACATTTCCTGAGTGCTGCAATCTCGTTTAATATGCACATACTGCCCAGTGGCAGACTTCCTCAGCACCCCCATTTTACACAGGAGGAGACGGAAGTTCAACGGTGTTATTCAAAGTCACAAAGTTAATAATGGCAGAATCATATTTGAACCCAAGTGGATCAAGCAATGTCTGCTCCCTTAACCACCCAACCATGTCTTCTCCAGACAGGGAAAGGTCACGTGGTGTTGTTCTCCTAGACTGGAGACCACCTTTGGTTTGAGACACTTATTTAGCAGAGAACCTGGTGGGCCAAAGATGCAACCTCATAGAAAGATCTTACAACTTGGAGGAATTAACTGCCAACGTTTGAGAAGTTGTAATTCTAGGATTCTAGGAGCCTTTAGATAAAAAGCGTACTTGAACTTTAGTGGTAACCTCTAAGGTGTGGCAGCAGATAGCTCAGGGGACGATGTAGCTGCCTCAGATTGATACCCTGACCCAGCCAGGGACGTTCAAGCCAGGTAAAGGGGAGTTCTGCACAGCTCACCCTCCTCACCTGGTTCCCTCCTGTGTGCCCATTGTGGGTAGAGCCATCATACCCTCAATTCTTGACTTACAATGAAAGGACATGCTCTAGTGTCTTTCAAATCACCAGGTCGCACATCCAGCTGATAACAGAGCTTCCCACACTTCCACATGGGCTGGTCGGAGGCACACCTCTCCCCTCACCCCGGAGTAATCAGTTACCTGAAAGCACTTTGATTTAAAACTCGAATTCTGGAGATGCCTCAGAGGATTAGAGCAGGTCTGAAGAATGAGATAGAAATGATCTAGAAGGCAGTATGGTGATAGTCTCAACCCTGCTCCCAGGTCCAGGGGAACTTACTGGGCAACTATGCCTTTGTCCAGCTTGGGGAAAGGAATCAAAGATGTGCAGCTCTCAACTCTGTGCTCAATGTTCAACCCATCTGGAGACCACTTGTTGCACTGTGAAGATGTGGGATGGGTGCTCTGAGTCAGGGAAGAGGGTTAGCAGGCCCTCCTCCTTCCCTCGTGGTCCCCAAATATAATAATCTAAGGTAGACAATAGCCAATAAGTGTGAGGCAGAAAGGAGAGAAATATTAGTATCATCACACTCCATCATCATCTGGATTTTATTCTATCAGGATAGGAGAATGTATATCATACACACACACACACACACACACACACACACACAATCTTAATCCTCATGGAAGGAAAGGTCCCCAGAGTCTCCTGTGACTCAGACTCCCCTTTGGCCATATATAGGTGAACAGTTGGGAGAGTCTTGGCCAGTCTGCCTACCCAGAGATCGGTTAGATAGTCTGGCATGTTCCAGCTCAACCAGTGCTTCTGAAATGAGAGTCAGAGTTAGTAATTAAATCAATCAATTATCTTTTCCTGTTAGGTAACTGACTTTAGAAATAAAAAGAAAATGAGCCAACTGGTAGCAGAGAAGAATCACTAAGGTATGCTTGGAAGAGGTAAGTGAACACAGCAGACACTGAGTCACACGATGCTGAGCTCCGGGACCAGCGGTCCCAAACCCACATGGCAGCGCACACTGGCTGGCAACGTAGCCTTCACAGGTGGGCACCACATTGTGCTCAAGGTGGGAAACGTACCTTTGGTTACAGCTGAGGCTCTGTAGTGTTACAACAGTGCTTGTCAGACAGAATATTGGGAGAAATACTTTGGGTAGACAGGAAGGCCTGGGGGAAGAGGCAGACTACAAGGACAAACGTGTGCCAACACCACCACATGTGTCCCAGGGTGTGTGGCAACTTCATCCTGCTGGTATAGGAGAGCGTGTAGTTGCAGCCTGGCTTAGTCTGTTTCCTGTTGCTTTAGCAGAAGACTGTGGCTGGATAATTGATACAGGGAAGGAGTTTGTTTGGATCACAGTCCCAGGGCTGGTAAGTTCAAGATTGAGGGCCTCCTACTACTTCTGCTCATGGTGGAAAGTGGGTACATGCAGGAGAGAAAAAGCAGCAACCCAAACTCCAGGAGGAGTTAACCTATTCCTGTAGGAAAAGCATTCATCTGCCATGAGGTCTTTGTCCCAGCAACCTGTCACACATCCCCCAGATGCCCCATGCCCATGCTGCTGCCCATGATGACAAGCAAATTCCAGCGTGAACCTCAGCAGGGATGTACCATATTTCAACCACAGCAGGGCCAAACAGTTGTCCTCAGATAAAGACATGGGCTCAGAGAGTCGCTGAGTGCATGCTATGATAAAGAGAGATGTAATTTGGTCCCCTTAAAGGCTTGCCAAAAAAGCCTAGTATTTGACTGCGTGCCACTGTATTAGTCAGGACCCTTCTGGTTTCGGTAACAGGAGCCCAGCTCAAATGAACTTACAAAGGAATCTAATGTTTCACATAATAGAAAAATCTAAGGATAGAACTGACTTCAGTTATGGCTCAATACGGTTTCTCAACACCATCAGCTTTGCTCCAGTTGGTGTTATTCTTAGTTGGCAAGCTCTTCCAACACTCAAGAAGGTGGCCAATGTTGGCTTCATGCTACATGTATGCTTACTTCCTTCCAACTTAGCTGCCTCAACAGGAAAAAAAAAAAAAAAACAATTTCCTAGGTCTAGATACATGTCCCAGGGACAGCTCTCATTGGTCCATTTTTGGACATGTATCCATCACTGAACCAATCACTAGAGCCAGGGAGAAGCAGCAATCTGATTGGCCTGGCTTGAGAGGAGTACTATTTCTAAATCCAGAATGTGATGTTAGCCCCACTAGAACACATAATCTAACAATAGAACATGGTTGTTGCTGGAAGGGTATTTTTTTTTATTTTAAAGAGGAAAACAATATAGACAATCATATGAAATTTCAAAACAAGACAGTAGAAGAGTAATAAGGGTTAATACATTGAATATTGTTATCTTCAAAGTAGGTGCCCATATTACAAGATACAGTCATGAAAAATGGATCAAAACTATGAGCACAAGCCTTTCTTTTCAATGAATTAATAGAAATTAGTAGTATAACTATCTTAACTGTCATACAGATTTTTTCTTTTTTCTTCCTTCTTTTCTCCCCTCCCCCATCCCAGCTTCTTTCCTTTTGAACAGGTTTCTTCCCATTTCACAATATCTATTGTACATTTTCCATCTTATTTACTCTTTCAGCTTCTCACTTTAGGGACACAATGCAGTGTTTACACATGTTAAGTCTGATTGATTTCACTTATGCATATCGTCTCAAATTGCACCCATTTCTTATAAAAGACTCAAGTTTATTCACCTTTGTAGCTGAGTAGTCCTCCGCTACATAAAAATATCACATCCTTTTTATCCATTCCTCAGTTGATGGACATTTGGATTGTTTCCAAGATTCAGCTATTACAAATTGTGCTGCAGTAAACATGGGTGCACATATATCACTGTGGTATGACGTTTTTAATTCTTCTGGGAAAATACCCAGAAGGGAAATAGCCAGGTCAAATAGGACCTCTAATCCTAGTTTTTCGAGAAATCTCCACACTGATTTTCACAGAGCTTGCATCAGTCTACACTCCATCAACAGTAGAAAAGAGTTCCTTTTTCCCTACAGCCCCTCTAGCATTTGCTATTGGTTGATTTCTTAATGATACTTACTCTTTCTGGTGTGAGAAGGAATCTCAGTGTTCTTTTAATTTGAATCTCTCAAATGAATGACTTTGAATATTTTTTCATTTATTTATCTGCCATTTGAATTTCTTCATCTGAGAAGTGTGTATTCATCTCAAATGCCCACTTCTGAATTGGGTCCTTGAATTTGGGGAGGTCTGATTTTTTTTCAATTTTTATATGTTATAGATAGAAGTCTTTTGTCTCCTGGACAATTGGCTTAAACTTTGTCCCACTCTGTGGGTTATCTTTTCACTCTGTTGGTGATTTCTTTTGATGTGCAAAAGCTTTTTAATAAGATGAGATCCCAGTTGTCGACTCTTTGAAGTATTTCCCATGCAGTTTGGTTCATGAACTCTCTGCCTACAACAATATCTTCAAGATTTCTACCTACCTTTCTCTTACAGAAGATTGAGTGTTTCTGTTTTAATATTTAGATCTTTGATCCATTTTGACTTTAGTTTAGTGCATGATGATAGCCATGGGTGTAGTTTTAGTCGTCAGCATTTTGAAAGCCAGTTTTTCTAGCACCATTTATGAAAGAGGCTATCCTTACAGTGAACATGTTTGGCCCTTTTGTCAAGGATAAAAAGACTGAGTGTGTTTGTAGTTGTGTCTTCTGATCTGTCCCACTGATCCTCAGGTCTGTTTTGTTTTGTTTTGTTTTTGTTTTTTTGTGTACCATGCTGATTTTATCACAGTAGATTTGTAGAATAATTTCAAATGCCTCCTGCTTTGCCTTTGTTGCCTAGGATTGCTCTTGCTATTCTAGGTCTCTACTGATTCCAAACAAATTTTAGAAATACTTTCTCTTCTGTGAGATATGTTAATGGTATTTGGATTGGAACTGCACTAAATCTGTATAAGAAATTTGAGACTGTGGCCATTTTCACTACGTTGGTTTTTCCTATCCCTACCCCGATGGGATATCTTTCCAATTTCTGATATCCTTTTAAATCTTCTTTTTTAGAGTACTGTAATTTTCAATGTATAGATCTTTTACTCCTTTTGTTAGATTGAGTCATAAATACTTCATTTATTTGGATGCTATTGTGAAGAGTGTAGTTTCCCTAATTTCTCTCTCAGCGAGTTTGTTATTTGTGTACAGAAATGCTATTGATTTCGGAGTGTTGACTTTGTATCCAGCTAAGCTACCAAACTTGGTAACTAAATCTAGAAATCTTTTGGTGGAGTTTTTGGGGTCTTCTATGTAGCATATCACGTCATCTGCATATAATAATTTAACTTCTTCCTTTCCATTTATATCTTTTTCTTGTCTAATTGCTCTGACTAATGTTTCCAGAACTATGTTGAACAGGAGTAGTGATGGTAGAAATACTTTTCTTGTTCCTGATTTTAGAGTGAAAGCTTTCAGTTTTTGTTCATTTAGTATGATATTTGGTAGATTCTGCTAGCCTGGGGCTTTGCCATCTGTAGCACAACATCTGTCCAATTTGGTACTGGATCCAGAGAAGTAACTTATCTCTCCAAGAATAACTTCTGCGTTCTCCTTCTCATCCCAGAGATAAACCTCCTGCTCCCTTTTAGCACGTGCGTTGAGCCCTCTCCAATCCCAAGACTCCACAACCACCCAAATATCCACCCCCAGCCCCCAGTAAATTTTTCTGTCTTCTGTTTTGCACAGCCAGATGCTCCTTCAAATCAGCTGTTAATATATCACTCTGTCCACTTCCCAAACTCCTCCCCCAGCCCAAACTGATAAAAGTAGCTTCATTTCTTTGTTCTCACTGAGAACATTTCTATTTCTTTATTACTCTCCCCTGTCTGTGTTAAAGGCCTTCTCTCTCATTTTCTCTGTACCACCTCAGTGTGCCAAAAATGCTCAGTCAACATTGGCTGTGGGTTTGTCATAAATGGATTTTATTAAATTGATGTGAAGACCACCTATTCCGGTTTTCTGTAGGGATTTTATCATGAAGGGGTGTTGGACTTTGTTGAATGCTCTTTCTATATCTATTGAGATGATCATGTGATTTTTGCCCTTGGCTCTGTTGATATGATGTATTACATTTATTGATTTCCATAGTTTGAATCATTCCTGCATTTCTGGGATGAATCCCACTTGATCATGATGTATCATCTTGACGATTTGCTGCATTTCTGTTTGCTAATATCTAATGAAGATTTTTGCATCTGTGTTCATTAGGGATATTGGTCTGTAATTCTCCCCTTTGTCTGGGTCTTTCTCTGGGTTTGTATCAGGATAATACTTACCTCCAAGAATGGGTTAGGAGTACTGCTTCCCTTTGAATTTCATTAAATCTTCTCTAAATTTGATTACTAACATTCATTAATAACAATATCTATTTAAAAATTAATTTAATTAGTGTTATTTCATTAACAACATTCATTGATAACAATAACAATTTCATTAAATCTTCTCTAAATCTTTCATTTTATTCAGTGGTGAATCCATCAGGACCTGGGCTTTTCTTTGTTTTTAAGTTCTTAATTACATTTTCAATCTCATTAACTGATACTGGGTTATTCAAAATTTTGTCTTTTTGCTTCCGCTTTGGTAATTCATATAGGTCTGTCCATTTCTTCTATGTTTTCCATCCTATGAGAGTAGATTTTTGAAATAGAATTGATGATCTTCTGAATTTCCACAGGATCTATAGTAATTTCTCCCTTTTCATTCTTTGATGCATGAATTTGAACCCCTTCTTCTTCTTCTTCTTCTTCTTCTTCTTCTTCTTCTTCTTCTTCTTCTTCTTCTTCTTCTTCTTCTTCTTCTTCCTCTTCTTGTTTGGTAAAGTTGACTAAGGGTTTGTTGATTTTATTTATTCTTTTAAAGAACTAACACTTCAATTCATTAATCCTTTGTATTGTTTCCTTAATGTCCATTGCATTAATTTCTGCTCTGATCTTTATAATTTCCTGCCTTGCATGGGCTTTGCTCTTGTCTTGCTCTTCTTTTTCTAAACACTTGAGGTGTAGCATTAAGTTGTTTATTTGTGCCCATTCTGTTTTCCTGATGTGAGAAGTCACCCTATAAATTCCCTTCTTACCTCTACTTTCATTGTGTCCCATAAGTTCCAATATGTTGTATCTGCATTCTTGTTCAGTTGTAGATATTGTTTAATTCCTTCTTTAATTTCATCTGTGATCCATGGGTTATTTAGGAGGGAGTTATTTAATTTCCATGTGTTTACATAGCTTTTTCAGTTTCTTTTGCCATTAATTTCCGGTTTCATTGCACTATAATCCAAATAATGTACACGGGGAATTTCAGTTCCTTTGAATTTTGTTAAGCATGTTCTGTGGGATAGTATATAGTCTGTTTTAGAGAATGTCCCATGTGCAACTAAGAAGAATATGTATTATGGTAATACTGGGTGAAAAACTCTGTAAACATCTACTAAGTCCATTTGTTCACAGGTTTGGTTCAGTTCTGGTATTTCTTTGCTAATTTTTTCTCTAGTCGATCTATCTCTTTGTGACAATAGAGCATTAAGATCTCACATTACATTGCGTTATTGATGATTTGATTTTAAGTCTATTAATAATTGTCTTATTTAGTTCAGTGCTCCCATATTTGGTGCATACATATTTAAGATTGTCATCTCTTCCTCTTGAAGTTTTCCCC